CCGGCCTAAGAAAACGAGCCTACAAGAGCACTGCCCCGACTGCTGTATTCCACTTACCGAGAACCGCCAACTGCCCTAATGCCAGATTTCGCTTGCGATGTTTTGGTTGTAAGTGCAGGTTCCGCTCGTGCGCGTGTGCCTCGCTCAATCATACTCAGGTAGGCGCCGGGCCATCAGGCCTGATCAGTGCGCTCTGTCTTGCCATGTCCGGGGTGTCCGTACGCATTATCGACAAGGAGCCAACGTATAGAGTCGGCAGGCGCGGGGCTGGAATTACCGTTCGTTCTCCTTCACGTCAGTTCAAATTGTCGAGTAATCCCATATGACAGCCGCGGACGCTCGAAGTCTTCAAAATGCTCGGCGTTCTAGACGAAGTTCTCAAGCTCGCTCACAAGCCGGTGCCGTTCCAAAGCTACGAGCTGCCGTATGGTATCAAACCCGAGAGAACGTGGGTGATGGCACCCACTTTGGAGCCAACACCCGCGTACCCATTCGTTCGTGGATTTCTTCGCGCCAGTTCCCTGTATTCACGTGCAGCTATTCAGCGCAACGCAGTCTTCTTGGGCCAAGACCAGGTTGAAGCTATCCTCAGGGTGCGCCTCCAAGCGTATGCTTGCTCGGTCGAATTAGGAACCGAGCTGGTTGGATTCGAGCAACACGACGACCGAGTTTGTGCCCATATCTCAAGCGAAGGCACGACAGAGGATATCGATGTCAAGTACATTATTGGAGCGGACGGAGCAAAAGGTTCCTTTTCGTTCCGATTGGAAATCTCGCATTGTTGAATGTAGTTTCATCAGGATTCGTTCGGAAGGAGCTTGACCTTTCGTTCCTCGGCGAAACACGCTCAGAAGATCATCTCGTAGTGTCGGACGTGATTATTGAAGGCCTCGACTTGGAGGTACGGCTTCCTTCCGATACTTTTTTCAGGATCTCACGTACGCACGGCAGCACATACACATGTGGACTCGAAGCGCCGGAACGTGAGTAAATAGTTCAACACCGTTCTTTTTCTGAGAGTTTCAAAGGATAATAGTGTGGCCAGGCCAGACACAAAACAAGCTTTTCAGCGTGCAGATGATGGGCACGGAACTTGATCGTCAGGTCGCCTTGGATCCGGACGCGTTTCGCGAATTCTTTCAGGCGTATACGGGGCGGGTGGATCTTGATTTGGGGGAAATCGTATGGGTCTCTGAATATATGTAAGTTGCGGGTATGCCACGAATTTTGCCGTACTTATTTCAATTCAGACCGAACATCCGGATGGTCGAAGAGCTTCAGAAGGAGCGTGTGTTTCTGGTCGGGGGTGAGTCTTGGTGTACTCATGTTGGAATTCTTCGTTGAAAGTTGCCCGAAGACGCGGCGCATGTACACAGTCTTGTAGGAGGACAGGTATGTTCAACCATAGCAAGTGATCGATGCCTTACTGATCTTTTTCTCAGGGCATGAACTCGAGCGTGCAAGACTCGGTGCGGTTTTATTCACCACAATTTGTCCATCAACCTCACAAACCTTTTCAGTTCAATCTCGGCTGGAAGCTTGCCAGTGTCGCCCTCGGCCGGTCCTCGCCCACTCTACTTTCAACGTATTCGGAGGAACGACTCCCCGTAATCGCAGAAATGCTAGATAAGACCACCGAACTTCACGCAAAAGCATTCGCAGCGGACAACCTCGCCGAACAAGCACCCTGGAAACGCGGTAAATCGCTCGATCAGCTTGGAATTAATTACAGATGGAGCTCTATTGTTATCGAAGAAAAACCGAAGAGCGCTGAACGGCCGCTTGGTGCTTATGGCCCTGAGGGCGGGGAAACAGAACTCCTTCGAGCAGGCGATCGGGCACCGGATGCGCCGGGGTTGGTAGAGACGCGAGAAGGGGGAGAGTCCGTCCAGCGGAGTCTATTCGAGATATTCAGCTATACGACGCACACGGTGCTGATATTCTTTCCGCCAGAAGAACGATCGGTGGTTGGTGGCATTATCCGGTTCCTCGCTAGCTTGCCGCAGAGCAGCAGCATTCAGCCGGTAGTAATATATCCCGCTGGGTTCAAGGTCCGCGGCACAGGCACCGACCTTGTCTTGTGCGACAGGTACGGCCACGCACGGCGAGGATATTGCCCGCCACCCGGCAATGTACACTGTGTGGTGGTACGCCCAGATGGAATGATCGGTGCAATGGTGTCGGGCGTGCCTAGGTTGAAAAAGTATTTCGATGTCATCTTTCTTTGACACCCAGACCTAATCTATCTATCGTGTAATCTGGGTAGAAAAGTTGTACAATCTAGTGCTTGTTGGTGCACAATGTCTTTTATTTCAAGATTCATTCCACTCTATCCATAGCATAGAACTTTTCAGATAGCTTCCAAATGAGATCGAGCGGTGCCCCCAGCAGCATTGTTATTTCTTGGCAGTTGGGTTGAGTCTACCCCAGGGTGATCTGTCGGGGGAATCGATGCTGGATTAATCTGAGCATTTTATGACGTTTTCAACATGTGGCTGTGCAGGTTTAAAAAGACACAAAGAGTGGAATTGGGAGTCCAAGACATGATCGCCACATAATTAGACCTACAGAAACCGAAGAAGAAATGTAACACGAGATATCCGAGGGAAAATATGATCCTAACATCCACACCGCCGACTAAGGAGACATCCATATACTCCGGATCCGTTGCATGGCTTCTCCCGGGCTCCTCCCATTGCTCAGGGTAAGTGGGCTACGGCCTGGGTTTTTCAGTCCCGCGATCTCGTCCGTGTGGCTGCCAGGCGTCGACTGGTACAATGAGAGAGTAAGATCAGCCTTTCTATCGAGAAGCACTACATAGACACGCACCACCATCTTCGATGACTTGGCGCTGGCCTTGTGAGGATCATACTAGATTCCCGTTAGTATGTGAATCGCCAATGAAATAAAAAGTGAAACTCGCCACGAAGGCCGCTCCAACGAGGAACCGGCCTGCTGGGATGGGATCCCAACGCTGGCGAAGAAGGGGGCCTGGACCTGCCAAAGGCTTTAGACGAAGCCCATGCAGCATAGCGGACAAAAGGTACTTCTTGGAGAACAATTCCACCATATGCCATGACCGTCAACGTATCGATGGGACCTTCAGTCGTTGCCGCAGGCGAAACACCCGTCATCTGTGAGTTTATGATTGTTAGCGATGTCAACCGTTGGCTAGCTGGAACCATACCGCCAAGTCTCCGGACTCGCTTCCACCGGCCGGCGACTGAACCTAAGCAAGAATGTTGTCAGCGTACGCTTTGACTTCAAATTGTCGACATACGACGTTCACGAGCTCATTAAACAACCATAGGGCGCCCTCCCTGCGACTAGCGATTGGAGAGCCGGACGAGCTGGGAGAGTCCGTGCCGCGTGCCGAATCGGAAGAGTCATCCGAATACGATTCGTCCCCATAGTCCGAATCGGCTTTGAACTGGTTTCACATTCAGTACCATATGCATGAGGCGGCGACTATAACCAGAGACGCACCAGGGGGAGGAGATTGAGATCCATTGATAAGATTTCCCCGTGGTTGATAGAGGAGGCTTGGGGGGAAAATGACGTTGGAGAGAAGGCGGGAACCTGGAAGTTTCAAATGGTGAGTTCTCGTAGAGCGTTGAGGCGTCTCTCACCAGAAAGGTGGCCAGGTCATCTTCCTATGAACGAGAAAACAGTTTAACCCAATGCGTATTTAATTGAGATGGTAGAACATACTGCAAAGAATGGACGGTGCGAGTTGCCTTCGCCGTCCGCGTCAGGGGACGTCTCTGACGGAGTCTAAGCGACGTCAGTTGAATGCGATGTTCGGTAACGACGTCGGAATCAAGTGTGCTTACCCTGGGAGGAGACGGAGCGGGGTTCTGCTGCACTGACCAAGCGTTGAGAAGAAACTGATGATCTGCCCAGGAAATTGAACCTGAGTAGTGGTCACCATATTGTTCTGGAAGTGACATACCGGCAGCCGCTTTCGATTTTCTCGTCGACCCTGACACTGCAGCCCCACCCGACACAGCAACTTCGGGTTCCGGTGACGAAGATCCCCTACAATGTTCTGTTATCGTAGAAGATTCGAGTGATAGCGAGTGAGGGCTACCTGTCGATGTTGGTTGAACCTAGGTATGCCGACCCGGCGACTTCTATCAATGGTGCGAGCACCGGCCACAAAGTCCTTGCCACTTTCCCAGTGTCGTAGTGCTCCTCCACAAGGAGTCCTCCGACGTACTCTTGGAAACCAATGTCGACTCGGGCAACGTCCTTCGCCAGGCGAGGGTCGACCTTGTCCATAACGAGCTTGAGGACATCCCGGGAAAGTATGGCATGTTGTACGGTCTGTATAGGAGTGGCTGCGTTAGTACACTTTCGCTCAGATAGATAGGGATCTGACCTTCAGGAATCCCTTCGGCTTCCCAATCAAGTCCTCCCGTAGAACCAACATGACGGACTGCGCCAGAGTAGTCTCGCCCATCTGGCGATACGCGAGCCGAATGGACTTCTTCATCGCCTTGGTTGCTGGGTCGGTCGACTCGGCGGCGAAGTAGCGCCAGAGCGGGTCTTGCAATGGCGCGAGTCTTCCGGGCCGATACGTGCAACCAGAGGACGCGAGAAAGGCCGTGACGGCACCTTGGACAGCGGTAGTGACTTTCGAGGGCATCTTGTGAACGGCGAGATAAACCTGGGGATGCTTGCAAATGGACGCAGGTTGTCGCAGGAAGCAGGAGGGACGTTGAACTTCCCGTTTTGGACAGGCGCACCGCCACCGACGTCGTCCAAGCGCTTACGTACCTTTTATCCCCGTCCAATTCGAAGTTCGATTCCGCAGCATCGCAGCATCTCTGTTACTAGTAGTACTCAACTCAATCAGTCGCAAGCTTACACAATCTTGCCTCGGCCCTCGGGGCCAGGTAATTTACCGCACGCAGACTGTGTCGAAAGACGCATTTGTGCACGGCATCGAAATGTCGCTGCTCCCAGGGATCCAGTGGCAACGCAACTGGCATTCCGTGCTCACCATAGGCCAGCGGTTAAACTGATCGTGACTGAATATTATTCAGGAGCGGGAGGTCGAAGGTTCGATTCCTTCGGGTGACACTCAATCAGCTTTGGGGCCGGGTTCCGGGTTCATGCCCCGAGCTCGCGAGGAACACAGGCGCCAAGCATTCCGCCTTATGCAATACTGTGTTCCAGTGCTGCTCTTTTTTCTCTATTCCCCACAGATCCATTTTCACAATTTACAAGTACGTCGGCAGTTCTGTTGCCCTCAGAGGCAGTCGTGTCTGCATCAGTAGTTAACTTATATATGCATATTATGTACCGGGCGTGCGCCTAGATTCAGAGACGAACTAAGTCTTGAATTATGTAGTCCTACTGCTTTGTATCTAACAAATTTGCCTCGACTTGAACAGCTTCAAACGTAGATGGAGAATTTCTGCAATGGCACGCGTGGTTCAACCGTCATCAAACCTCGATGGTTTCGAGCTGCATTGTAAACGATGGTTGGGTGCGAGTCGGAACAGTCCCAGCATCGAGTCCTAGCACGCCAAGGCCTTTCCGAGGGCGAGAGTGTTGCTTGTGCGAGTGTCGGCTGCCCCAACGCGTCATATAAAAGTTCGAGCTCCGGTGATGAGCACGGTGCGGGGAAAGATCTTTGTTATTTTATTTGCGCCACAGCTGTGAGAGAAGGGAAGAGAAGAGTCCAAGAATACAAGCATCGACCAAGTGCCCGATGTAAACATGAATTGACAGCAACTCCGCTCTGGAAAACCTGGTAAGCAACTGGGCTTTCTCGCATGAGGCTGAAATCAGCAGGACAGAGTAGGAAATTCAAAGAAGTGTACGCAGGTGTTTTGATGTCCATACGTTCGAGTTGACCGCCAAACCTCGCGGCCATTATTTCCACGTCTCCATCCCCGCTTTCAATCTCTTGACAGCGACTTCAAAGTCCGGGGCCTCGTCTACATATTTCGATGTCATCTTTGGCACTCACAAATAGTTTGTTTATCGTACGTAGGTGACGAATGTTGTAAAATTAGAGTTCTACGACGGGCTACATATCGATTGTGTCACAAGTTGAACATTGTGCCTGTCAATGTCTATCCGAAATCACAAGTGATCATGGCGGCGAGTCAGATTTATGAGCAAGGGCCCCCGAGTAACGACAAAATAGTCGTGGATATGAGTCGGCCACTTCTCGCGATTGAAGCCCTAAGCAAACTGTATGTCAAAGGACTTGAGCAGGATGGTGAGCACCATCAGCATCTTGTGTTTTGCGAATTTCTGCCCGACACAGTTGGCGGCTCCCAATGAGAACGGAATGAACGCGGAGGTGTCGTGTTTCTCGAAACTCGACCCGGGAAGCCATCGATCGGGGATGAATCGGTCGGGGTGCGAGAAGACCTTGGGGTTGCGGTGCAACGAGTAGGCAGGCGTATAGATGTTTGTCCCCTCGGGAATGAACCTAGTCGCTGAAGCTCATGACGGGTTCGAATATTTGTAGAAAGCACAGATACCTTCCGGCGATGTTTCTTCCGCCCTCGTTGGGATTGACCTGTCTGGTACCGCCGGACGGGACAGGCGGGTGAAGACGCAAGGTTTCGTTTGTGAGGAAAAACGTGAAAATTGGGGCGCAGAAATGAAAAAAAAAAACACGCGACAAACATGCATGCAGACAAGAAGTGCAACTGGTCGTGTTTGCTAACCTCGAAGATCGTCCCCGTCGACAAAGACGGTGGCCAGCTCCAACTGAACGTGTTCGTAGTACTCGCGATTAGAAAGCAGGAACCACACGAGACCGCTCATCACAGAGGCTGTCGTGTCCGATCCCGCAACAACGGCGAGAACGCCGTCGGCGGCCGAGCTCTCAAGTGTTGGCTTTTCTTTTTCAAGGCCGGCCTCGTCGGACTGTAGAGGTCAGAGCGCGTTCGTCTAATGTAAAACGACTCACGATGTGTGATATCATAGATCTTTGGTGCCCACTGCGCCATCTTTCGTGCGCTGAATGGCGAGACTTTGCCCAAAATCGTTGAATTCCTGAATCATGCGTCCAACTTGGGGAAACAGGTGCAGCGTCTTTAGTATCCAGGGTATTTGACCGGACATAGCGCCTGCCCTGTTCTCTTTCAGAACGCAGTAGACGAGCGCGTGGCCACTTACGTCGCTCTAATCCGCTGCCCGACGCCGGCCACATCCCCATCGCGCATAAGTTCAAATCCTCCACCGAACCTAAAGGTTGGACAAGGTCAGAGAACTATCTGCGATGAATAGAATCTCTAACGCAAAGTCCCCCATCAAGTCCAACCTGATAAGAGTTAGCACAGATGGTACGGAGGAGAAATGGTCCGTACGCAAATAAATCGAACCAGGCGACCAGGTCGACGGGTCCATCTTGTTTCCCCAAATAAGACACCAACTGGCTAGCGCGATTCGCAATCAGTGGCTCGTACTCGCGACGAGCAGCCGAAGTCATTGCACGGTTCCACACTCGACGCTTCGCGGTGTGGGCCTCCCCGATCAGTCCCACAACGGTGGGTGGCGTGGAACTGTGTCGTCCGTTTTCGTAATCCGCTGGAATTTCAGATGAAGAATGAAAACACAATAACCAACATTGACAGCGTCCCTTATCCAGACCACCGACGTTTAGGATCTTGTATACAGCGGGGGCGTCAATCACCGATTCACCGAGAGTTCGTTGGGGCCTGAAGGACTTAGTATCATCACAAGCTCGCGTTGTCCTCGTTGTCGCTCACCTGTTCGGACATATGGCCCATATGTGTCGTGGAGCTGCTTGTGATAAATATACTTGTAGCCTCGCCATGAGATCCACAAGCTCCATAGTTTTGTCGCCTTCCCGATGGCCGGTCCAGGATATTGCGCGAGGGGGTGAAAGGGAGAGAGGCGATAGGCAAGAACGGAAAGACTCAATGATCCCCAGAACACGATGTAGCTCCACAGCAGACGGGCGCAAGAGTACAGCCCTCCGTTGAACAGCAGCAGAGCCACAGGTTCGACCGCCAGAAATACCAGCGGAGTGTTCGCACTTGGGGGCTCGTATCTATGTAGAATCGCATGGTTCAACTGCAAAGCCATGAGTCAGCTTGGCGTCGAATGTAGTTCATGCGACACACCAATCCCAGAGCCGCAGCGGATGTAAAAAGAGACGAGTCCATGTGCGAACTTTGACCGTTTTGTCGCTAAGCCAGCCTATATAGTATGTATGCCTTTGGGGACTTCCTGCATTTCCTCCCGACGCCGACGGTAGGTTCTGCGGAAGAGCGGAGCCTGAATTGTCTGCGACATGGTTTGCGGTGGCCTGCGGATCATGAACGATGATGGCCGTCATCCGGATGATCCATTGCGGCTGTGATTCCCACGGTTCATTCCGCCGCCGCAAAGCCAAAGTGCTTTCGCCCTTATGGCGAAACGGGAGCCGAATAGACTTTTGCGCTGCCTTTCTTGCTGGGCCGGTCGACTCGGGGCGAAATACTGTCAGAGGCTCAGAGCCGGTCTTGCAATGGAGCGAGTCGTCCGGGTCGTCGCCACAGGCACGCTTTTTTCTTCCTTGTTTCTTCCCATTCTTTGCTCTCTCTTATTACAGAAAAGAATCTTTGAACGATAGTTAACTAATCACCCTCGGAAAGGAGGAAGTGAGACCGGGGTCAACTCGCGGAACGGTGAGACTGAGACTTTGCCCCTATCCAGAAATCCTTAAATCCAGCCCCAACGATCGAGAATTCCCCACTCTCACTTCTTCCATACCACAACCACAACCACCCTCATCCACCTCATACAACGCAGAATGTTGTCCTCCATGATAGCGTCCTCTTCATCCGAGCTCGAAGCCCTCGTCCTCAGTTCGGCGAATCCTGCCGGTGATATTCGCCCCTGCCCTATCATGTCCCTTGCATCCTCCTCACCATCCGCCTCCATCTCCGCGCCAGTCGCCGCGCTTACTCATAGCGACGGCCTGCTATCCTATACGCACGTCGCAAGGACTCGGCGGCGGCTCGGCTCTATACCAGAGGAAGAGGTCGAATGCAAATTCACCTCACCTTCCATGAAAACCGGGCAACACGCCGACCTCGGTCGAAACCTCGCCGCCGAGGTGCGCAAGAATTCGCAGTGTCAGAAGGCCGCCTCTCAGCCGCCCACGTCTCCCATCCCGTCACCCCGCACGGCCGCCCCGCTGAAGTCACGGTTAAAGGCGAGGATGCAGAAGCTGTTTAACACCCGCAAATTCGCAAAACGAACGCTGCAGGCCATCCCCGAGGCGCGATTCGGGGAGCCTTCGGAGGGGGCGAAGGGCATCCCCAACGGCGCAAAAATGTCCTCCGTGATGCTCCTGGCGGCGCAGTCCATATTGGAGGAGGACCGCAAGCTCCGGAAGAAAGAGCGCGTGAGTGAGGCGCCTGGGTCGTCGACGGTGCGGTTGGCAACGCAGGTACTACAAGTGCAAGAGGAGCAGAGAAAGGAAAGAAAACAGGCGCGGTTGGAGAAGCTGGGCGCGGCGCCGAAGAACTTTGTGTTGGTGTTTTAACGTAGCACAGAGCTGACGCCCTTGTTCTAATCAATAATACCCAAATGTACGATAAGTAGTGTACCAAGTATCTCACCAGTCATTTTCTCCGAGTTCCTGGCAATTTTGTGAACACGGATCGATTAAAATTTGCTAGGTTGCGGAGTCCCAGGATTCGATATCGGATATGTACAACTTGGGGACGCGAGCCTGAGAAAGGCCTTCACGACATTCTCGACAGCAGCAAGGACTTTCGAGGACGTCAACATTTTGGAGACCAGCGAGATGAAACAGAGAGATGCCTGTGGATGGACGCAGGAGGAGCCTCGTTTTGATCAAGCGTTCGCCAAGCGCACCGGTCCGGGCAGTTACGGTCTGAGCGCTGCTTATAGTATTTATGGACCACAGTCGTGAGAGAGAATGGAAGAGAAGAGTTCAATACAAGCACCAACCAAATGCCCGGTGTAAACATGGATCGACGACAACTCCTCCCTGGAAAACCCAGGGGCCGACTGAGCTTTTCCGGAATGAGATTGAAAATTTAGATCGTCGGTGGATAGTTTGTGAAGCGAGTAGGAGA